AAAAAAAAAAAAAAAAAAACATTAAAAATTTAAAAAAAGAATTAAAAATGTTTTGTTATTGTGATTGAATATTAAACTAGCAAAAAGTGATTTAAGGAATGAGATACAGCAGATCAAAAATGAAGAAAAGATCCTACAAACTTACAGAGAGGAGAAACAGAGCTGGGCCCCAACTGGCTGGGAATTCAACCAGGAAAGCAGCAAAAGGAGGCCCCAGATTTAGAGGTATGCTGTAGGCATTGGGGGCAAACAGTCCTCAACTAGAGCAGAAAGATGGGCGCTTTCAAGAAGAAAAAAAGGAACTGAGATATTATTTGATAAGCATGAACAACTGGGTGAAAATCTATGGATGAACATATGAAAATTGTGATGTAATGATCAGAAGAAAGTTAAAGAAAAAAATACAAGAAAAATCAAAGCTTATACAAGAAAAGAAAATAACCATAGTACACTCTTTGACTTGGCTGTGAACATTGTTTCCAGGGGCATGATAATGTAAATACTGAATAGTGACTTAACCAAAATCTGTGATATGACAATACTTGGGAAAAGGAGAAAGGAGAAGTTGGGGAGAAGTATAAGTGAATTAAACCCTTATATACCACAACAAAATCAATAGATATTATCTCAAGTTGATACATAAAAGAAAAAAGAATAATTATTTGTAGCTAATAGCTCTATTCATCAATAATTCTGGTTTTCCTTCTTCCAAGCCTGTAGGATGTGACTTCTTTGGTCAATGAAATATTAGTGGAAGTGATATGACAGAAACCTTAAGAGCCAATGTGCAATTTGCCCCATTTCTTCCCTCCTGCTCCTGTGACTGGTGATATTTCACGTGATGGATGTGCTACCAGCCTAGATGCAGGCCTGAGGGGACATGGAACAGGGCCCCAGTTAACGCACTTGGATTTGAAGGCTGTTTGCTGCCTCATTTTTCATGACTGATACTACATATTATTATACACGTGGAAGTAAATAACAAGAGAAACAGCTGAAAGAGCTGAAAATGGTTGCCTCTGCAAAGCAGGACTGCAGAGTGAGAAGAGGTTGGGTAGGAGATTGTCCCTTTTCGCTAAGTCTTGTAGAGCTGTCTGACTTTTAAAATGGCCAAAATAACTACAGAATCTATAACTCAAGAAAGTGGATTAATGTGCAAATGGAAATTCAAAGGACAAGTGATTAGGGAAGAACAAATATGTTCCTGCTCCTCTCATTTCCATAGAGCGTAAGGAAATGCCACTCCACTCCTAGAGGAGGAACACTTCTGGCTTCTTTCAGACTTGAAACTAATTTACTGCCAGGAAAGTGGAGTGACTTAACTGATTAGTAAGTTTGGGAAAAGCAAAAGAACATGCTGGGCTCAGCCTCTTCTGGGCAATCTTTGTTTATATTTTTGGAGGCACCCTGCCTACAAGACTGCTGGTCTCTGCTCCTCCCTGCAGTGAGCCTGGCAGGGGCAGAAGGGCACTGGGGAATCCTATGGTTACACAGGTGTGACTAGGTGGGCAAGTCTGGCTCATTCAGGGGTGAGATACTACTAAGCTCATTTGGTCACAGTCCTAAAGCAATGTTCGACAATCAATCAGCTTTCTCAGTTAATGACGCTGAGATTTTGATTTCCACTATCCGTCTGCTATATCCCATTCCTCAGTGGGTTCAGAACTCAGGAAGGGTAGAAGAGAAATGACCCTCAATGACCCTCTTCTCCAGACACATACATCAATCATCACAAAAACCACCCAACTGTGTGATCAAATTAATAATACACCATTAAGATAATGTCTTTTTTGTTGTTGTTCAAAAAATACATATATGCATAGAGAAAGTCTGAAAGATACTTTTCTTCACACATTTCTTGAATAATAAAAATGTTGAAACAGTAGACTTAAGAATAAAGAGTAAAAGAATAATGTAAAGTTACGGAGCATTGTTTCTTGGGATTCACAGTGGTATCTAAGTGATTTCTCTAGATTGCCTTTGCTTTCTTTCACCATCACATTCTTATAATTGGTATGTTTAGAAAAGCTTTGAAGGAAGCACTACGTACGTGTCCAAAAAAGTTGGATTATATTTGATACTCTAAATAGAGAAATGGAGAACAGAAGAACCAAAGTTCAAGATTAGTGACATAGTTGTGCTTTGATGAAGTAAAAAAATCACTTAAATAATTATATAAAATGACATCTATGCTACAACAGCAATGCAATTTTCCATTATTTTTAATAACTTACTTCCATTTCCTTATCAACTGATTTCTCTTCCATTTCTTGCATTTCGGATACATTTTCATCTGAAGTAATTTCAGGAGTTGTTGGCAATGATATTTCAGCTATTTGCGTAAGATTAGATAGTTTCTCATGAATTGAAATGACCCTAAAAATAACAGATGCACATGTATTTTACTTGAAAAGGTAAGAAAGGCATTCGTTTATTCCCAGAATCTGTAATATGTGTAAAGTTAGTCCTCAGGTATTTAACACTGGGGTTTCTGGCATTCCCAAACATCATTCATTCAATAATTCCTTCATTCAAGAAACATGAGCAAAGAGAAACAATTCTAACCCGTATAATATTTATGACCTAGTTATATACTCTGAGAGATTTAAAATGACAAACTGGCAAAGGCACAATGACAGAAATGCACACATCCAAAATACTGCTTAAGATGAAAAAAAAAGAAAATGAACATTTACGTGAGCAAAGAAAGTCCAGGCAATAACAAAAGGTTTGCTCCTATGTAAATCTTAATGCTGTGCCATGACTGCCCTGCTGACCTGAAGGTAAGAATTATGGCAAGTTAGCAATGGCTTGCAAAGGCCAATCAATGAGCCCATAACAATGAAGTATATTGTGCGGGGAGGGGTGAAAGGGCAGGGAGCAGGATCAAGAAAGAAGGAAAAGCAAAAGCCAAGGAGGAAGGCACAGGACACAGCGGCAATTATGCTGAAGACAGAAAGCTTCTGGGGCCACAGGCCAGTGAACAGTGGATACTCTGAAGGCAGAGGTAAATGGGTGAGTGGAGTCAGGAGAAGAAAAAGCATTTGAAGCAGCTGAAGGAGGCAAACAGCCACCTGTGTGGCCTTCAGTGAGTCTATGCTATGGGATACAGCACATATATGCATGCATGTGTGTGTGCGTCAGTGTGGGTGTCTCCATCCAAGGAAGGAGGGAAACTTTTATGAGAAAGAAGTAAATTATCCATTAAGTCAAACTGACATCAAAAACATACACAGGAATGTCAATTCCCCAATGTTCCACAGGGTCCTCATCTGCAGCATGGTATAATACTCGATGACCATGATAGAAGGTGAAAAAGTACCTTTAATTATACATAAGAGGATCTGAAATTATATAGTGTGTTTAAGAAACTCTTTTATAAAAAAAGGACAATGGTTAAAATGTAAAGATCTGTTATTAAAAGTTCACTTGGAAGACATCCATTAAAAAAAAAAAACAGTCATCTCCAAGAATGGCGGAAAGGCTGCCTGATGCACTGGAGAGAGAACAGGTAGGACTCAAAGGACCTGGGAGAAGCATGCTTGGTTCCAACACACATCAGCCATGAGACCCTGCACAAGCCACCTAACCTCTCTGACCCTGACATTCCTCCTACTGCAAGACTGGAATAATAAAACCTGCTTCATCTACTTCACAGCATTTTGTACCGATGAAATGACATAACTATGTACATTCCTAACCATGAGAAGCCACATGAGGAAAGATGATATTCTAACACACTGTTCTTCATTCTAATACCCAAGAAAGAATTCTTATAATTCCCGTTTCTCTTTCAAAAATAATGTAGCTCCCCCTTCTAATACATGGAATTGCAGGAAGGATAAACTGTTCTTTGATGTTTGGGTTTCAGATTGTCAGTGAATGTCCAGAGCTGTATTATCTGTTTCAAAAACAAATGTCCTGGTCTAACTCTGTAAAAAGCAGGCTGGTGGGGGGGGTGGGGTGGCTGGGCCCCTGATCAAGGAGCAGCATCAGAGGACCTAGCATCTCAGGTTCATCTCATGACCCCATTTGCCCAACATCTTGCCCATACACATCTTGACCTCCCCGTCCGTGTCAATGCTCAGTCCAGCTTTTGAATTCCCACATTGGCCCACAAACATCCATCATCTCATCCAGGCTAGACCAGCTCCCCACAGCCTTTGCTCTCATTTACTGACTCACGGGCACTCTCTCCCCCCCCAGGCTGCCAGGGCCTGGAAGCAGGACCCGGGCAGAAGTAGAAATGTGGATGGCAGGAGACTTGAAAGCAGAGACAGCAGGCAGGGAACTGGATCTTGGTTAGAAGAACATAATTGGATAGAACTACACAGAAACATTTATGCGTGTGTATTGAGAACACTATCTTTTCTTTTGTTGCTATAGAAAAATGCCAAGAATTAAAATGTTTTTCCTTGTAAGTACTTAATTTGGAGATTAGGACATGAAATGAACGATTCAAGAGGACTGCCCAATTTGAAGGCTATTCTGGTTCCTTCTCTGGCTTATTTTTTTCTGACCCCTTGTATTCTTACTTTGCCTTCTGAAAGATGGTCAACAAGAGCAACTCCCCACGTACCTATCTTACCCTGGCCCTCCTAAGAATACAAGCAATGCCAGCCTAGGTGAGGGAAATGGGCAGCTTTCACTGTGTCCCCAAGGGACAGGTTAGATGAGACACTGCCAGACACCCTCCTCTGTGTTGGCCTCAGTGACAGGTTCATGTCCCTAACCTGAGTAAACCTACCACTGATCATAAACACATTCAAATTACAAACTTTTTGGAATAAAAAAGAATTCTGTCAGTTTGATTTCATTCCACTCTGCAGAAATTATCATCATTTTAATCATGTGATTCTAAAAAAATATCTTGCCATATTTATGTACACAAAGCAAGTATATAATTTCATAACTTTGTTGCTTAGCTGTGCTGGTATATGTCCTGTGCCTAGATTTTCTGCCAGTTCAAAAAAAAAGGGGGGGGGGGAAGGGAAAAAAGAAAATTGGCTGAATAATTGAAAATATGCCAGCTCTTGAAACATCTCTTGTTTTATTCTCTTTTATGGCAAGGCCAAGAAGTCCTTCAGTATGAAAATCTTGGAGCATGAACAAGGCTCTTCAGGGAAGAACCAGGTCTCTGTTTGCTAAGCACTTACTAGGTGCCTAACAGGGCAAAGAGCTGACACTGACAGACACAGGGGTTAGTAACAAGACTTGACATTTGCCCAGTGCTTTCGGCCTTTCAGAAGACATGCATACGTTGTCTGTCTTGATCTTAACAACCCTGAAAGGCAGGCAGAGTAGATATTCTTTCCATTTTACAACTGAGGCGATGGAGTTGAGGTCACAAGGACGGTGAACAATGGAATCAAAACTAAATTAACTAAGCAATGAAAAAAATTAAAAACCAACTAGGAATTTGGTAAAGTGAAACAGGAGAAGAGAGAAACAAGGCATGAGCAAAAGTTAGAGACATGCCCTGTTTGATGGAGAGAAAGGAAAACAACCTGGATGAAGCAGAGGCTTTTGATGTGGGGAACAATGTAAAATAGGGAAGGGTGGGACGATGGAGGGCGTGGAGTTTGTCCATAATTTTGCAACCCAATACGGAGCCACATGTTACTTTTTAAATATGTCCCAAATCAGGGGTGCCTGGGTGGCTCAGCCAATTAAGTAGCCAACTTCGGCTCAGGTCATGGTCTCAAGGCTTGTGAGTTCGAGCCCTGCACCAGGCTCTGTGCTGACAGTTCAGAGCCTGGAGCCTGCTTCAGATTCTGTGTCTCCCTCTCTCTCTGTCCCTTCCCCTCTCATGCTCTGTCTCTCTTTCAAAAATAAATAAGCATTAAAAAATGTTTAAATATGCCCCAAATTATAGGCAAAATATAATATATATCCTTGTACTCTCTAAAATCTTTATGAAGTGTCAGGAAGTGTTTCTCCACAACCCTAAGTACTATTATTCTTATTCCCACTTCATTGATGGGGTGACTGAAGCACAGAGAGGTTAAGTAACAAGCTCAAGTTTGCAAAGTGAATAAGGGGCACGATTGGCATTTGACCCAAAGCAGGCTGGATTCAGCGTTCATACTCCTAAGCACTGCAATATCATACTCCTCTAATTAAAAGGAAGATCTTCTAAAAATGTCTTCTAAAAGTTCTCCTGTGACTTACCTTGAATATTACTAAAACAGTCTGTTCTAAGGAAAATATTAGCAGAGTTGTAGGAAATCCATCATTACTTGCCTGTTCAGTGGAACCCAGAAAGAGCCAACATAGACATCGCTAGAAGTGCTATTAGGCACAGCATCTGAAATATTCTGGGGCCTCATGTTATATGCATACAACAATAAAACCTATAAGAAAATTAAAACATGAATAAAATGTGACATTAAAATTACACATTGCCTCAAAATAATATCATTAAATTTTTTAAGTTTTTCTTTGAAAGAGAAAACAATTGTGTTTCAACTCACTTTAAAGAGGACTGATTTGAGCAAGAATTGTACAAAGTTTATGAGGTGAAAAGAAATGCCATTTGATAATAATATTATATTATTTTTGAAGAGTGCCATTTCTTACTGCAATTATTAAGTTTAAATCTCAACCTGCGAAGGCCCTCTACAAGTTGGAAATGTGTACCTGGTGAATATCCAACCTCGTTTCTCGTTGCTTCTCAATATGCGCCTTTCTCATCAGTGGTCATAGCTGCTTCTGCGCATCACTTATGCTGCTCCCTTACTCTTCTGTTTATTCAACCTACACACAACTTTCTGGTCCCCACCTCTAACATGGAACTTCTCCTAATGACTCATACTCTGGTAATCTCCCTGCGGTTTGAATTTTGACAATCCTTAAAGTTAATTCCTTATATTGTAGCACTTATTTATGGTCTAATGCACAATTCACAGAATTTGAGATTCATAGAACCTTAGAGAGGATCTGGTCTAAGTCCCTCCTTTTAGATATGAGAATGCTGAGGCCCAGAGCTGCCAGTCAAAACCAACTAATTAAGTACATGCATTTATCTCTGTTTCTTTGATAATCAAACTAAAATAAGAGTACAGGGATTTTTTAGAAAGGCGTAAATCCACAAAGACAGACAAAAAGGAGGTAAGCAGACAAGAGATGTTAGCAACACGTTGAAGGACAGAAATTGCTGAGAAGAGTGTTGGGGGACTCAGAAAAGAGGAAAGGCTGTGTCCTAACTGCCTTCAGAGGGGTTGCCAACAACAAACATGACTGAGAACCCAGAAAGGCTTGGGAGCTGGAGATGTTCCTCCCTCTTATCCCTTCCCTGAGCCCATGCCACCAGGAGATTTCCCTACTTCCCTTGCCTCCTCTCTGGCCAAACTTCCTTTCATTTTCCTCTCTGCTGAGGTTAAATCAGAGCTCTATTGTCAGGGACATTAGGTACAGGGCTGAGATGCAGAACTGAAACCATGGGAATTAAGTGGAAGTCTGTGTTCTGAACAAGAGACATCCCCTACCCCACTGCAGCCCCTGCTCGGGATGTAGGAAACCAGACAGAAGTTGAAAAGGATCCTCTTTGAGGAAACTGACCAGACAAAGAGAAAAGACCTACAGATACTGACATTTCAGCATCCTGCAATGAAACTTCTGGCTCCTGCAGTTACCCTACAATGAGGCCTATAAATCAATAAGTCTGACCTGATACACCTTGTAGCACCTTCACAAATGAATGGATAGCCAAGGGTCACTAGACATGAAACGAAAGGTAGAGACCAAAACTAACATAAGAAAGGAACTTGAAGAATCAGATATAAGACAGAGAGCAGAAGAGAACTTCAATGAAACCATAATTGATATCTTAAGAGAGAATAAAGACAATATTTTATCTGTGAATCAAGAACGCAGTGCTGTTAAAAATGAACAAAGAACAAGAAAGAGCTCTTAAGAACTAAAAAAATATACGATCACAACTAAATATCAACAAAGGTTTGAAATATAAAATTGAAGATATCTCCCCAAAAGTAAACCTAAATTTTAAAACATAGGTAATATGGGAGAAAAGATGAGAAAAATAATCTAATAAATTCAGTATCTGAATAATAATTTCAGAAGGTACAGAGATAATCAAAGGGAGGAAATTATCAAAGAAAATAATTCTTCTTGCACTAAAGAATATACTGAAAGATTGAAAGGGGCACAGTGGATGACAGACCCGCAAGGTTCATCATGGAATTTCAGCACACAAGGCATGGAAAGAAGATCCCCAAAGCTTCCACAGGAAAGAGAAAAAGAAAGAACTAGGCATTAGAATGGGACCATACTTAACAGCAATGCAGGATTGCCAGAAACAATGGGGCAATGTCTCCCATGTTTTGAGAGAAAATAATTTTCAATGTAGAGTTTTATGCCTAGAAAATGATGACGTCAGCATACAATGATGACTTTGTGTTGGACATTCAAGGTTTTCTTATATCCTGTGTAAGTATAGGGTCAATCTGTTGCAAGTGGTTAACATCTCAGGGGACTGTAGTACTATTGTTGGCCCTTGGCCAAAGCTGAGTGAAATGTACCACTCAGTGACTAATGCAGTCCTGTTCTTGATTCTGAAACACACCCATGGGGCAGCCTGTGCCATCGTGTCAGCATTTTCTTGTAGATATGTACATATTGATGATTTGCATCTGGATTCTATTGTTCTCTTCATTTCTATCACTGAGTCCAGTCCCACACATGGTTTTGACTACAAGAATAGAGAGGTATGAAAGACCCCTCCTCAGTTAAGACATCAACCTTCTTGAGACCAAGATATCTTACCATATTTTTGTGGTTCATGATCTGTAGATGAAGTGTGCTGTGCAACTGAGTGAGGACCCTGGCAACTGCTCCCAGGCATCTTGGATCTCTCTAATGGTTATCTGAGCTTTCTTTATCCCGCCATGACTTATCCTTTACCAAAATCTTCCATGAATATACTTTGTGGAATATATTGTATGGTGTGTCCTTTTAATAATCAGAACCTCCAACACATCCTTTATCAGAAAGCTGTAAAATGTGTTCATTCAATAGGAGAGAGCAAGTCAAGATAGGGAGAAACATGGGACCCAGGGAATTCTCAGGAGGATGGCAAGTGGGCTCTTATGATGATATCTGAACCATGAGAGCAATCAATCCAGTTTGGAACATGTCTCTGAAGAAGAAGACAATAAAAGAATTAAGATAAACTGATGAGTTGGACCATGCAGAGAAGAATTGTGTAGTTCTTTGAAAGTTTAGGAAGAATGAGAGATTCTAGAATACAGAGAACACTAAATTAAAAATAAGGCAGGTTTTTTCTTCAGGATAGAAGTCGGGAAGAAAGGAAACAGTACCTTATTTGGCTCAGCTGTGAGTGATATTTACACGTTCATAATGTAAACACTGGCTCTGGGTTTAAGAATTTTGATAGAACTCATTTAGGAGAGGGGCACCTGGGTGACTCAGTTGGTTATGTATCCAAACTCTTGATTTCGGCTCGGGTCATGATCTCAGTTTGTGACAGCACAGAGCCTGATTGGGATTCTCTCTCTCCATCTCTTGTCTGCCCCCACCCTCAATAAATAAGTAAACTTGAAAAAAAAAAAAGAACTCATTTAAGAGAGTGTGTGGAAGAGAAGAGTATACCTGAGGGGGAAAAAAGAGGTTGACATTAGCTTTCATCTTCCATAGTAGTGTGTGAGGTTGATCACTAAAGAAATTATCATGTGAGCATGTAATTTAGATGTATGGGTTGGGGGGAGACCCAAAAAACAGAGACAGCTGAGAGTTGAAAGTAATTGTATCTGATGGTGGGATTCAGGGATGTGGACAGCTAGACAGAGAGAGAAATGTTCTTTTTACTCATTAGAAGTCTTTCACATTTGGTTTTTCAAACTATGGTAAATTTGATGAAACACTTCTGAAATGAAAATGAAATGAGTCCCAGAGAGATTAGTCTGTCTTATGGTGTTTGCTCTTGTTTTGTGTTTGTTAACCTTGACTCCCAGGCTAGCATACAAAGTCCCTGTGGACAGGAGTGACATCTTGTACTGTTTTTAGTAGTGCTTGCAGCACCTGCTACATGTTAATTAATATCTTCATATTTGTGAAATTTTCATTATATCTCTTAAGAGCTAATGAAGTTCCCCAAAGTGTGTTAGTGGAAAAATTTAAATAGATAACATACTTTACATTTAACCCCTGATAATGAAAATGACTTTCTCCCTCCTCAGGCTGACACTTGTCAATGGCTTTGCAGTACAATTTTAAAATCTCTTCTAACCAAGCGTGGCACAACTGATTTCAAAGTATAACAGTCTGAAATCAAAACAGACTTGGATAAAATAAGGCAGTAGTTACACATTAAAACACTAAACTGACTTGCATCTATTTGTTGTGAGCCTGGGCTTTGGAGCCAGAGTGTCTGGGTTTGCTTCCCCGACTTTACTGGCTGTGTGATCGGGGCAAATTATGAAAATGTTATGCCTCTACTTCCTCACTTGTAAAATGGAGATGTGGTAATCCCCATCCCCATGGATCGTGTGAGGATCCAATGGGTCAACACGAAGTGCTCAGAGCATCACTGCTGTCGCTGTGAGCCACGTGACCACTCCTGGCTTCTCGCCCTACCTTGTTTGGTACCCCATTCTCCATATTCTTTTAGACCCACTGCTAACCCCAAGCCAGCTTCATATCTGACCTCCCAGGCTGTCCCCATCAAATCCATGCGCTTAGTTCTATTTCAAACTTGTCCTCACTCTTCAGGTATAAGTGTCTATAAAACCCTACATACTCAGGACTGGATTCTGCAGGAGACAATATGCCCACAATGAAATTTCCAATGCTCCCTTACTCACTTTCACAAAGGCTTGTTTTTCAATGGTAAAGAAGTGTTGTGGCTTTGACAAACACTGAGAAATGCTGATTCTAAAATCATCTTGAATGGGGTATCCCTTACAGCCCAGGAAGGGGTGAAGACAGAGCCCCTCCTCTACTAGATGGAGTTGATTCATAACTTCCTCACCCTGGTATCTTAATCACCTAACAAAACACCTGGCATATAGGGTGCACTCAATCAATGTTTTATTAACTGGTTAGTAAGCAGCTATTATATGCATGTTACAAAGAAATCCATACAAAGAACTAGAAGACTCAGGTCCTCATTCATGTTTTTGTCACTAATAAGTTGTGGCAATGGTCAAGTCACTGTACTCATATGGGACTTGGCTTCCTCATCCTCAAAATGAGAGCATCAAATAGATGTTCTCTTAGTTTCTTTCAAGTCCTGAAATTTGACTTGGGTGGTCCAAGGGAAGTCAGAGAAGCTTTCCAGTGGAGCCTACTATAGAATCCAGCAATGCAGCATAGC